AAATCCCTTTTCCCCTTCGGGACACCAAACTAGCGATGATACAATCCTATTAGGGTCACCGTGAATAGTTTACAAATTAAACCACAACAACACATCAACACTATTCATTATAAAAATTAACAATAAGATTAATTTAAAAATCGGTTAACTCTAATAGTAGTACCAATTAACAATGCCAACCTATTGTATTTGGAGAAACAAGCCAAAGCTCCAACAAACCGTCCTCGCATGACGCGGCGACTCGTTAGCCATCGATATTTATGGCTAGAGTTGTAATTGGTGAGGGTTTCCAATCTTTGCTTTTGAGCTGATACTTGACTTTGATCTTGTCCATGGAGGAAGAAGTGGGATGAAGAGAGTGAAAAAGTTGAAAATTTGATTACAAAGAGAATATGGTAGTGAAAATATGGAACAAGAAGATGACCATGGTTATGTTTGTTTTAAGATTTAAGCGTGGTGGCTTCGACGTATTTATATAATTAGTTTATTAAATTATTTTTATTTATTTATAATTAATGTTATTTCAAAACAATTTGAAACCTAATTTTTGACCTAAGAGATTAAATCCTAATATTCTACCTAAAAGATTAAATCTTAATTGAAAAAAAGGATTAATCAATTAGTCTGGTTTCTTCGTCGTGCATCTCGTCTTTCTTCATCAAGTTGTGTGATGCCCTTATGAGAATGGACTGAAGGTCGTGCGATGAGAGAATGTTGTGAGAATGGAGTAAGGTTGTGCAATGAGAGAATGAAGATGTGCGATGTTTGATGAGAGAATGAAGTTGTGCGACAAAGATTATGGGTTTGGGAGAGAAAAAAGTGTTTTGATGGAAGAAAATAAAAAAACTTGTGGTTTGTTAATATGTTTAAATTAATTTGTTTACATATTATTCACTTAAGAAAATTTACACATGTTATTCACTTAATTAGTAACTATAATTAATATTTTGGATTATAAAATTAAAATTTTTTTTCTTCAATCCATCTAAATTTACACCCGTTTGATTAAAATAATACTTTAAGTTTACACCCGATTTTAAAGAATAGGATGTTTATTGTCACATATTAATACTTAAAATGACACTTTGTTTACAAAATTGTCATTGCATTTACACCCGTTTTTAGTATAATAGGTGTAAATTTCCACCTTTCACACACTTACTACTTTCACCAAAGAAACAAATATATATATATATATATATATATATATATATATATATATATATATATATATATATATATATATATATATATATATATATATATATATATATATATATATATATATATATATATATATATATATATATATATATATATATATATATATATATATATATATATATATATATATATATATATATATATATATATATATATATATATATATATATATATATATATATATATATATATATATATATATATATATATATATATATATATATATATATATATATATATATATATATATATATATATATATATATATATATATATATATATATATATATATATATATATATATATATATATATATATATATATATATATATATATATATATATATATCAAAGGTGGAAAGATTGATTTTTGTGATGTCATAATCTGAGTCAAGAGAAAACTATGATTCAAATCAAGTTAGATTCTTGATTTGAGTCAACGAAAGCAGATCCCAAATGTGACTTCTTTCAGACATATGATTCTAATCATTTATACCACTTGATTCGAGTCACAAGAGTTTGTAATTTGAATCTGGTTTGTTTTATGATTCGAATAAAGCAGTCCATAAGCAAATTTTAATTTTTCACAAGTTTATGATTCAACTCACATTTAATACATGATTCAAATCAAACATTCAATATCTTAATTTTAATAGTTCAAACTTATGCTTCGAGCTAAGTTTGATGAAATGACAAAAGGAGAACTTACTAGGCTAAAATATATACATTATGAAGGAATCAAACTCTCTAAATATATTGAATCTTGAGGGATCTTAATAATACAATATGCTAAATAGCCGAAGCAATTATAAAAAAATTTGAATGCGAGTAAAGTACAAAGACACGGATATTAAATGGTAAGCAAATTACAAATATGTAAACAAACTCTAACAACGATACTCAAATTAGAAGAAGAAAAAAACAAAACAAGTAAACGATACCATAATTTGACTGCACTTTTAGTCTCCCCCTTTTTGATGTTTAGCAAATTTGGAGATATGTTGAGTTTCCTTAGTGTTCAAATGATTATTGTATGACACTTCGCTTGAGTTGTAAAAGCTGTAAAGCTTCCACTGCATTAAACACTTAATGTACATAAGTATTGATAGTATCTCGATACCTTATCCCCTTTTGACCAATATCAAAAAGAGAGAAAAGATAGAGAGAAAACACGCGCTAAAACAATTGAATCCAATATAATACGAAAGCCAAAATTAAAATGTCATACTTAATGAATTAAACAAGCACCAAATAAATCACATACGAAACCAACGATCACAAACACACAATTTAATAAAGATGTCAAGAAAACAATACATAATAAGAATTACAAAGATATCATATATACGTGACTAAAAGACTTGTCATAAGATGCATAATCCAAAATGTAGTCAAGGATCACAAAATAAACAGACAACCAAAATATCCATGATATGCTAATGTTATGATATATATTAAAAAGAAAAGAGAATTAAATTAAGGAAGATTGGTTGTTTCATCATGAGGAGATGAAGCAACTGCATGATCTGGAAAAGGGTTAAAAGGCTTTGTACCAACATTAGGAGAACCAATAGGAAATACTATAAAGGATCTACCAAGGTGCTCAAATGCAACTTTCACATAATCAACCAGAGCAATAATTTGGGCTTCACCACTTTGCATCTCTGGCTTCAATTCTTCCTTCAACTTCATCATGTTATCTTCACTTTCCTTTGCAACCCCTTCAATTTATGCCATGATCCTTTTTTCCCGCATCTGATTATCTGCCAAAATCCTTTCAACTAACTCATCAATATAGGCTTTCACATCAGAAGAAAGCAACCTAGCAAACAATGAACCTACCCCTTCAATAGTGGGATTCATAATCACGTCCTCGTAAAATTAAACTATCATCTATATGCAAAAAGTAGTATTGCCCATCTTTATCTTTATAATACCTCACCATATTAATAGCAGAGTCGTCAATAGGCTTTGGTGATTTTACCAAATAAAAAACAAATGGGTAATGCCATTTAGTTCAATGATGTGCTGAATGAAATATGAGTAGAAAAGTGAGACCTCAGGAGTGGACCTACAATGTTTCATCCTTAGCAAAATGAAATTGATCAAATTATGATGTTTTTCACCTAACAACACCCACGTCAATATGAGATCAAGATCTTCTACCCTAGCCAGTTGCGAGGTTTCCTGCATAACATCTTGACAATAATCCAGTGCAAAATTCGTATTTCAAAAGTAATTTGACTAATGTTAAAATTTACGATATCCAGTTGATCACCAAAAACTGACTTAGAAATTGTTGTCACGAAATCAAGCTTTTGGAATCTTGGAGAGGAAGACGTGTCATTAATTTTAACTTCATCACCTCCAGCAGGCACGCCAAAGTGAGAAAGTGATATACGAATGAATCAATTTGTCCTTGTATTTTTATGAAAAAATATAGACAATAGTCTTATTTATAATTTTTATCTATGTTGATGACATAAATATTATTGAAACTTCGAAAGTGCTTCTAAAAACTACAAGTTCATTAAAGAAATAGTTTGAGATGAAAGACTTGGAAAAAACAAAGTTGTGTCTAGGATTACTAATTAGACGTTTGCACAGTGAAATTTTTGTACACCAAGAAGCATAGATAACAAAAGTGATACATTACTTTTATATGAACAAGTATCATCTATTATTTCCCTAATGATTGTTAGATCATTGAACATAGAAATGATTCTTTTAGACATCGAGAATAAGATGAAAAACTACTTGGTCATGAAGTACCATATCTCACTATAATTTGAGCGCTGATGTAATTTGCTAATTATACACGACATGATATATCAAACTTTGTCAATCTCTTAGCATGATATAGTTCTTCATATACACAAAGACTCTTGAACGTAGTTAAACATATGCTTGATTACCTTAAAATTGCATGTTACTTGTGAGATCTTCATAATGACAAATCACAAACATGTTACTTGTTTACTCGTGGTGGTACAACCATTTAATAGAGATATGCAAACCAACTCATATCAACAACTTCTTCAAATCATGCATAATTTTTATCACTATGTGAAGTCGCTTCTAAGTAGAAATTTTAACCAACTTGTATAGAGATTGATCTTTATTGTTGAAGAGATGATTGTTCAATTGGAAGAGAGATTTAAATACATTATGCACTTTTTTACTTTCACCATAATTTTGTCCAATAAATTTTTTTATTAAGATTTTTAACGAAACAATTCTTTCGTAAATGATATTACGCTCTTTCTCTTTTGATAAATTTTTTACATTGAATTTTTTTAATAAGATATTTAAGAGACATATTTTAAATGTTAAAAATAATAAATGTGATTGCTTTTGTCTTTTTTTATAATCCCAATCAACTTCCTCCACTTATGTATTTTAATGTGTATAGATTCTATTTTTTTTTTTTTTTTAATTTGAAAGTAATACTTATATTTGTATAATAGAATCATTCATAAATATCATAATAGAAAGATTCTAATTTCACTATTTGTTTTTATCTATATAGTTCATAAATTTTTCTAGTCTTATAAAATTATCGACCATTTTTTATTTATCAAAAATCCAAATAATAACAAATGTTTTTATCATAAATGTGTTCGTAATCGTCAGGTTTGGAATGAGATTGGCGCTTCTCTCACGATACTCACTTCACCATGACAGCACATAACTAGAAAATCTAAATACAAAAATTCTCTGTAACAGTAGTTGAGTTCGTTACCTCACACAACAGAAGCAAACCCTAACACTTCAATAATGGAAGAAGGTAACCGAAGAATGCTCGAGAGAGAGCGATACCAAATCGAGCAGATTCTCGAGCTCGATCTCGAGGAGTTGCAGGTAGAAGAGGTCGACGAGTTTCACGATTCTTCCGACGACGATAACAACAACAACGACCACCGTGATCTTACGTAATTTTCCCTCTTTCACTTCGTTAATTTGTTCTCATTTTATTTAACTCTCACCGTTTTCCATTTTCACGATTTTGGACCAATTTAAGTTTTCAATTTTTGTGGTGTGGTACTGACATTCTTTTGTTCATACTGTTTGGAATGCGATAGGATTGGCTATGGTAGTGCAGGCGTTGTTCCCGGTGAATTCACTTACAACACTTGTATAGCATCCTTACATACGTATCTGGGTGGTAGGTTTTGTTTGTTTGACTTGATTCTATATGCGATTCTGTAATATGTATATGAGCTTCCAATTGGTTTGCTTGATTTTAATTTGATGTTGCTTGTGTGTCTAGATGTTGAAGACACGCACCACAGGACGGCTTTCCTGGATGGTGGGACTGTATTGAACCTTCCACTTTTCTATCTTCAAGGTATCTGTGTCATCCTTCATGAATTTGAGTATAGCGGCTTGGTTTGGTTTTTACATATCTCTTAAATATGTTAAAGAAACTCAGCATTTTTTTATTTGCATTCTTGCATTCTTGCCTTCTTGCTTTTATAAACATACACTTAAAAGTCAATACAAAATATGGGGAAATTCTTTTATCAAAGGAAGGGAAATATATAGACACTTTGTTTGTAGGGTCATGCTTACACATTTTAACCATATCTGTTGCCTGATGAGGAATGTTTCCTCTAAAAAAGTTTAGAAATTTCAAAAGAGGCTTCGTGGTACTTCATTTTTGACTTGCTTATATGTATTCATCGAGGTTTTTATTTGTTTTCTCCTTGTTTCTTTCTTTTATGTATTCTTTCCCCTGATTTGTTTATATGTTGGGATTGGATATGCGGTCATCAGCTTTTTCATTCCGCGCTGCATATTGGGGTGCTTTTGCCTACTTAATGTTTGAATTGTATTCTAGTAAATTATCGTTAAATACGTTCTTAAAAATTGCCAAAGATATTACTTCTAACATAGAAATTGGAAAGTCACCTTGTAGAACTTATATTCTTATCATCATTGTGTCCTGCATGTAAGTGTTAAATTATTGGAAGAAACATTCACTAATCCTTGCAATATTTAAGGAGTTGTACTCTTTCCTGGGGCTACTCTTCCTTTGAGAGTTATTGAATCCAATTTTGTGGCGGCTGTTGAGAAATCTTTGAGCCGAGTTGATGTTCCTTACACCATTGGTGTGGTAGGTAAATTCCATATGATAAATGCTTGTGATTCAGTCATGCTGTGGAGTCTCTTGTCGTTTTTATCAAAACACAGGAATCTAACAAGCTTGTTACTTGTTTATGCTCTTTCCAGATCCGAGTTCACAGTGATACTGAAAACCGTAGGATGAAATCTGCAAGCATTGGGACGACTGCCGAGGTATATTCTCTCAATCAGTGTACTATTAACAAATTGAAACAAAGTTATTTGATTTGCATATGAAATCAATTTCAATCTTGTAGATAATGGGATAATGAATAAACTGCCTGTCCGCAGGCAGGAGTGAGTCCTAAAGAGATATGCCTACATCATCGGTGTTTGTTAGGATAGAATATAAGAAGTTATTTAGTGATAGTTATAGTTATAGTTAGTTGACAAGCTTTAGAGAATTAGCATACTTAGAGATTCACATGATTTTGGTTGATATTGGAGGGGTTCTGAAGACAGACCAAGGGGGGCAAATGGGTATTATGTGATAAAGGCTGATTGTAGACCTAATGTTCTTGGCTCAAATTGAGGATAGCATGTGGGTTCTACTGCTACATCCATCTTCAGCTCAAATGCATCTTAGTAATGGGATCTCTGAGATATGGCAACTAGCAATGTCTATCAACCAATGGGAGTCTGGAGCACAACCCTTGTTTTTTAGCCCGCAAAACAAAGATTCACACTTGAACGATAACAGCCTGTCGAGTTGAGAATGCAATGGAGATGGAAACACAAAATGGACACGCAAGTAGGAGCTGAAAGACAGAGTCAAAGTTAGGAGCGCATTAGATATGTCATCATGCCCCGTACAATGGCATCCTAGTGGAGGGAACTTTTCTTTCTCAAACACTATTGAGTGAACCACTCTATGCGATAGGAGTGCCCAAATTATTTCTTTAACTATTCCTACAAGCTACAACAATATAAACCAACATTGATTCTACACATGTTGCCATTAATGACCATGATAGCTCATTAACAACTTTGGAAATTACAGGAGCCAAGCCTATACAAATGTTGGAGCGTGGAGATATTAGGAGATGAACTAAATTGGAGGGAGTCGTTCACTCTACAGTAGCTACAGATGCCAAAGTACTCTATCTGATTATTCTGTTTTCAACCTTGAGAACAAGGTTGCAGTTATGCCAAATCCTAATAACTTAAAATACCAAATTATAAGATTGAACTGTTCTACACTAATTAACTCATCATATTTGCAAAACCATAACACTTTTGTAGTTCTATACATAAATACATAGAATGTTGTATCTTATACAAATGAAATATCGATCTTGTAATGATTATTTTTCTACATGACATATTTTCCCTATACATCCAACCTGAAATATGAAGTCTTTGGTTGTGTTACAATTCCATGTACTTTATAAAGTTTATGCCCGTAAAGTTCTGTTACTTGCCACATGTAATTCTGCATAACCTGTCTGGTGCAGCCGAGGGGCTGGGATATGCAAGCTGAATTACTTATATCTCATTATTTTTTTTGGGATAATGCATACATCTTATTTGTTAATGCAAGAAAACCTGATTTTCGTATTCAGCATTGATGGGGGTTAACAGAATTCACATGTATTTATAAGTCACAATTTTGCTATAGTTAATCCTGTGATTGTATCAACCAATTTGTATTGCTTACTAAACTTATCTCTATAGATTCGACAGTACGGGCGCCTAGAAGATGGTTCCCTTAATTTGGTTACTCGTGGACAACAACGATTTCGCCTAAGACGGTGTTGGATTGATGTGGAAGGAGTGGTTAGAATATTATCATGTTTACTTTTTTTAAAATAAATTATTTATTTTCTTTTTTAAATAAATTTTCACAAGATTTTATGTTGGTAAATATTGATTGCTTTTTGTCTCATTTTCTTTCTTTGGTGGTTGGGGGGTGGTTCTTCTTAGCCTTATGGAGAGGTCCAAATAATTGAGGAAGACATACCATCGCGAACTCCAAGAGATGCTTTTGGAAAGTTAACACCCCTAAGTAATCTGCCTTGTAACCGTGCCGCCTCAAGCGTGTTGTCATCCAAGTATTCTGTTCATGGTCAGGGTTCCAAAAACGAGGAAAGTGATACAGAAGATAGCTTTGAGAATGAACTTTCACCAGCAGCTAGAAGAATCCATCGGTCACTCATTCGTTCCAATTATGATGAATATGATGAATCAGCAAGCAGCAGTGATGATAAATTAACAGATGAGTCAGATCAGGAAATTAGATCCAATCTAGATGACCCGGACACCTTAATGCTAGCTGACCATGAAAAGGATGCAGAAAATATGGATTCTAGAGTTGGGAGCTGTTCCTCTTCTGGAAAACAGTCCTCCATCAGAGAAGGGCTAAATTGGTGTTCTAAAAATAAAGACCCCTACTCCTCACATAGAATTTCAAGAGCATTCTTGCCTGGTTGGGTGTATCGTATGTTTGACTCCTATTGCTTGCACAAAGGGCTGCAGGTAGCTCTTCCTTGCTCCTTCTAACTCTTTATTAAGCCAATTTTTTAATGTTAAAAACTTAAATGGACGTATTCATAATATCACTATTTTTAGTTGCACTAAGTGTTGTTTTATTTTCTGCATGCTGTTTAATATGTATGGTTTTTAATTTTAAAGATCAATCTAAATGGGAAATTTTTATGAACAGTTCACGCACTTGTTGGAATTCCTAGAAACAGTTTTACCGAATTGACAATACTCACAAATCTTTGCTTATCCCTATTTTGATATTTGTTTTAGGATAAATTTTATCCTCACCTCAACTAATGAACGGAAGCGCTCTTATTTCTAGAGTATATCTATTTGCAAATTTAAATAATGGGTCCTTTGTGCTTACAGAGTATCTATTGATCAGAAGCCTTTGGCAATGTTTTTTTTAATCAAGGCTGAAAGCTCACCAGAAGGCCTCAGCCCTCACTTGTTGTGCACATTGCCCATAATTTTCTGATTAGAGCTTTTGAGTCTAGGAGAGAGATTAATTATACTGAACACCTATTGCTTTCCTTTAGAATAAGAAGCATTTGTCAATATATATCACATATATTTGTTAATTAATCTAGCTTAGTATTTTAGTACAATAAAAGGGAGCCTTGGTGCAATGGTTGGGGCTCTTGCCTTGTGACAAGATCACAAATTCAAGTCATGGAATCGATCTATTGCAAATGATATGACTGGCCACAGTAGATCTATAACAGGTCTGACCCTTCCCTACTTCACATTAGCATCAGCCAAGAGCTTCATGGCACTAGGATACCCTTTTTAGTGCTATGACACAATTGAGATATAGTGCTATGACACAATTGAGATATAGTTTGTAAGGTCCAGATTTATATAAAGTAAAATATAAATTAAAAATGATTTATTAAATCCGTAAAATATGTTGGATGATTCATCCATATAAGTATCTAAAATGATGAAT